TTCCATAATAACTTCAGAATCATCCCAACCCTCTTGTTTCTAACCTTGCTTCCTCTTCAATTCCTGATAACCCTCCGAGGCGTCTGAAAAGATGATCTCCTAATGTAGACATATCATTAGAGAGCTACCATTGGGTAGTTTCTAAACAAGTGCTTTCACGTCATTATATCCATATGTGAAAATTTACTAAATGTATTTCTTTAATACAGTTGTAAATATCATTAAGAAAATAAAAAATTGTAAATGTTAGGACTTCACAAGTTTAGATCAGGTCAAGGTAGGTAATTCATATTCAAAGGAGTATTTTGTATCAAGCTATGAAACTTTTGAAACGATTTTAGAGTTATGTTACTTCTTCAGTTGTCCGATTTCAGTTTTTTACGATGCTTTGTATTGGATATTGGAAATATTGGACCAAAATTCGGAGAGATAAACTTTGATCTATTCATTTAAGAAAATCGCACATTTAGACTTTACCATTTAAGGCCTAAGGCCGAATTGTTCTCCTTTGTAAATATTTTTCGTACAGAAGTTCCTCAAAGGTATCTAGATCATAAAAATACATAGTTCATGGTGTATGTCGTGGGATTTTTTTTTTTGAAAGATTAAAAAAAAGAAGTCTCGATATTTCAGAACAAGAATATTGTTTACCTTAAATCTTTAAAACACCGCAATAGATTGAACAGGTTGTTGATGTTTCATATGTTCCTGTATGTGAGGTAAATATTAACAAAATTTCAATTTATCATCATTCAAAATTAAAGAACACGAATAAAAAATTCTTCGTGCATGAACAATTTTCTATTACAGCATATCGAAAATTATTCAATTTGTGCATAATGGTTTTTCTCGTGTGCCTTTGTTTTTAATGATAACAAATTGAAATATTTTTATTATTTACCTCATATTGAATACATGGAGTGATTTTTAGACCCCAGATAATAACAAAATATTTATTGTTACTATGAATTTGAGATATTACATTTACGATAGCATGTAACAGTATAAGATTATAGTATAGAATAATTATTAATGAAATAACAATTTGCATATTTCTGTATATATATATATATATTAAAACGGATTTTATTCAATAAATTGTATGATTAAGTTAATTATATACTTTCAAATCTACTTTCTGGACTAAATTCACTATTTCGATAAATAGATAAATTTATTTATTAGATGACTAACCTTACGTCCAATCAACGAGGATGAGGAGTATGAAGTGAAGGAGAGAAGCTATAATATATCGATATCTTTAAAAATTCTATTTATTTAAAAAACAAAACAATTATTATTATTTTATGTTCTCTTTAAGATATTGGCAGTGTTGTTAATATTTGTAACGTGATCCACAACAGAAATCAAGAGTAATGATATTTTAAAAAAAAATCAGCTGCCACAAATACCTATGCTCATGTACGATATGTAGAGCCATCGAAATATATGTATGATTTATAAAATGTGGAAGTAAGAACACTTTAATGTCAGCAGATATTGTTTTATACGTAACGAGATCATGATTGCTATTTGAAATAAATTCAGAGAGCATATTAAATGGCGATTGAAAATTCTTAAATGGCCAAGTCGAAATTATGGCAGTGAGCTTAATATTGAAAAGAAATATAGAATCAACTCAAAACATGGATTGGAAAAGATGGTAATACAAGAAAGTCTTTGCGCTGGTCTGGATTAAAAGCTGCTCAGGTGATGTGTTATTCACAAAACTATTCCTTTGGGATTACCTGGTACCTGATAATATTGCAGCATATCGCTTATATTCCAAAGAAACAGCCAAACTAGTATCCTTCGCTCTATATGCTAACAAGAGTGTAACGTCTTATAAAATGAATAGCATACATAAAATGGGTGCTATAAATGCTGACATTTACCGATTGAAAAGCTTTCCGAGGAATCTGTTAAGTCCTACAACTAACTCTTATGAAGACATCAATAGTACACAACGGTAAAACGTTAAAAATTAAGTTGCACAGTGATTGATAAATTAATTGATTTTGAAGAACAAAACAAAAAGTTAGGCGATCAGGTATTATAACCTGGATTAAAGTAGAATTTAGTTTATTGTAAATATTTTGCATGTTTTTAAAATATTACATTATAACCGAAATTTTAAAATGCCATGAACGAAGGAGGCTTTTATATCTGTCAGTTATAAACTTCAATTCTGTCCTTTAGTCTCAACATTTATTTAATTTGCCTCCAATATTTTAACCTACAGGCCATTTTAAAGGAAGAGTCTTCATAATATTTAAAATCTTTACAGACTAATTTACCTAGGTATTTCATGCTTCACTTAGTATTTAATTTACAATAACTTATTGTAACTATTTAATATTAAAAGTAGATTATTTTACCTTCATTTTGTGCATTAACATGTTTCTATTAGATGAAAAAAATGAAAGCATATTATTTATTACTTTGTACTCCAAATATTTCGATTTAATTATTTTTTCATTTCTTTATTTGATATTTATCGAGGAACCCAACAACATATGTCATTATATCATTACGCTTCCAATCATCCGTTATAAATCCTATATCGCGGACGACCGTTCGATAAGTTTTTTACCAATACCAATTTCTTTAATCGCGAAGTTATACAAACACACTGGTCCTATGGGCTACTTTTTTTGTTTTTTCGGCAGCATTTCACGCTAATACTAGACAAATTAAACTTTTAATCATATGTAAACAGATCAGATTAAATAAAGCTTTATTTTCAAAGGTAACCTTACGCATTACCTATCACTGGAAAAAATTCAGTTGAAGATAGACGACTTTTTATAACTTTTAGCTATTACAGCTTGTAGCAATTCATGTTATAGTAAATTTAGTCGAGTTATATTTTTATTAAATGAGATAAAATATTCAGGACTATGTTCAACGTTAACTATTACATAGGAGATGTTAATTTTTTTTCTTTGCATCAACTCTTCTAAGATAACAAATTAGTTTTAAAAAAAACGTAACATATAGTTTGTTTACCGTTGAAATAGCATGTTCATCTAACAATGACCAACAAAAAGAAAATTCGAGTGTGCATCAACGATCATTATATGATGAAATTTCTATTTGTTGCGTGAAAAACGAAGGGAATTGTACACAATTTTAGCAATCGTTTGAAATAGGTATGTACAGGTTAGAAATGTATTGATTTTTTTTTACACTGCTCACAAATCTCGGTTCATTTACTCATATTGATATTCTCATAAAATGATAGCCACAACTAATTAATTTTAAAACAATATTGCTAAATATGTATTAGTAGATTTTAAATACAGAAATCAAGATATTTGACTTAAAGAAAGGCTTTCTAATACATAAATAAATAAAAATTTCGACAATTTTTGTTCAGATTAGCTAGAAATTCGGATAGAATCGCCACCATTGACGCCTACAAATTACAACACAGTTTGAGCTTATCCAATTTTCAAAACTGTGATATTTTTTCAATAAGAATTGATCACCCTAAAATACATCATGTATTTGATGTTCTCAATTTACTAATATGCTTTGTTTCTTTTTAAATTTTCTTTTAAATTATTTACTATCCGAAATAAAATATCAGAGGTAAGTATTCCATTTCGAGTAATAATGAACTCAAAAAATAAATAAATATTTTGTTGGATAACTATTTAGATTATATAATTGAGGCAACCAAGTAAATTTTTGGTCATTCATGCAAAAATACATACTACTATATGTCTACCATATCGAAATTGTTAATTATAATTATTCAAATCATAAATTGATATTAAATTTAAATTTGTTTTTAAATAAGATGGTCAACGTACCCCTTACATTAATCTCTAATTTTTGTTGTGCCTATGGGTAGAATTTACCTAAGCTCCTATCGTGTTATATATTATAACAGGTTTACTGGTTGTATTTTATTTACACAGTTGTGAATTTCAATAAAAATAAACAAATAGTAATATGTTTTTTCTATCGTATTGTTCAATTAAGAAAAGAGTTAGCATACAGAGTGTAAAACAAAGTTAACTTTTACAATAAGAGAAATTTCTTTCAAAAAACGGAAATCGTTTAAAATTTTAAGAGAAAATTTAGGGCGGTGGTTATACCTAGATGTGGAAGATTAGATTAGATGGGTAGTTGTGTACTTTACTGAATTTTATTATCTTGACCGTTTTGTGGTTATAGGATTGGGTTTGTGACCTTGCTAACCCTTTTCCTTTTTAGAGCCATGTTACAACTCTCTTTACTGTGATTGCAACTGTATAGTTGTTATTGGCAGTATAGATCAATCTAAAACAGGCACAATTAAAAGACACTGCTTTCATAAAATTGAGCAATTATTAAATGCCTAGTTGATAAAACAGACGTGAATGACTTGAATTAGTCTTTTTACCTCAACTGAGACCTATCCTGTCTGATTATGATTTAATTATAGGGCAATTTTTCGAACCCATAAACATATCGCACTATTCCACCGTCTTAACGTTAAAATAAATTTTAATTTGATTCTACAGCTCCCTTAGTTCATCCTTGTACTGCCGTCATTTTGTTTTTGTAGTCCCAGCATATTCTATTGGCCGAATAGTGTCTCTCTTTCTTTTTTCTTCGAAAAGCTTAGTATCGCTGTTATCACAGTAAGCGATCAAGATCCAAATCATAAATATTTGGAACTGCAGGAGAAACGAATTCTGTAATATTCAGGAGGGAATTTAATTTATAACATAATAGTAGAATGTGTGATTCTAATATCAATTTTTTATAAAAAAAAGAAACTTGATTAACTTTATTGAAAAATCATGATTTTTTATATATGTTTTCAAATATTCTTTTGATTTATGTAAAAGTAAATAAACTAGATCATAATTTGTGATATGCATTAAATATTTAAGCACATGATAGGTTCCATCTGGTAAAGAAAAATAATCCACCTATAGACCAATTTAGTTTAATTAAAATTGATTTGTAAAATAAAATTGTATACGCTTACGCGAAATACGTACCAGAGTTTGCGAAGGTGATTCCGACAAGAGAGATGGTGGCAGGATGAGGGGGGTCAACTCTGGAAGGGAGCTTTATATAGACGGTCCACTCCCCCCCCCCTCCCACTTCTACCTCCCCCCGCACCCCACCTCTATGCGTGGGCTCACCACTTCTTCCAGATTCTTTGGCTCAATCTTACAATGTATCATTTTTAAAGAGTCATACTTTTTTTTTATTTATTTATATTTTTTTAAATTTTGAAAATTGAAATAAATTAAAGTGTTAGGTACCAAAAAAAAAAATTAATTGAAAATAAATAGAATTTGCTTTTATATCAATATTGATCTAAGATTATTTATATTTGTATGTTATATCTTCTGACTCTATTAGTTTTTATGATTTTATTTTATTAATCATTTATCTAAATACTGAAAAAACTAGTAATTATAATTGACATCGTTATCACGATTATTTTTCAAAATAATATATTTTAAATTTAAAATATGAACTAAATTAAAAAACTGTCTTTCTTGAAAATCACCTGATACTCTAAAAATGAGTAAATTAATAATTTAATTTTGTAAACGAAACAAAACGAATTTCTAGACACGAACAACACATATCCGGCTAGAACGAGTTTTTAGTTTGAAAAATCTTTTAAATTCCGGACTATAATGACCTTCATATCACATGTGTTCTTGACCTAATCCCAGACAAATTTTCCAAATTTCACCAGAACCTCACTCATCATCCAAATCTTGTAGCACAATCCCTATCTAGCTCCAACCATCCCTACAATTCTCCCCGGAGGTTAAAACGGCAGTGGCCCCGCGACCTTCTGTAAATATTTACATATTGGAGTTCTGGCAATGGCCAGATTCTCGACTCAGGTCCTGAGCGTCTGTTGCTGTAGTACCCTCCATCAGTTTCCACTGGTTTCTAATACCAGTGACGCGGCTGGGAGAGAAGCACTGGGATCTCCTGGAGTTCTGCCTTGGCTTCCACATTGGGGAACAAAGTATGACTCAGAGTCCCTGGGTGAATGTAAATATTGTACATAGGTGTGAATGTGTTTTATTTACTTTAATTTCATTTAGCTTTTATCTATTATTTCATTTTTTGTACAAAGTCATATTAATTTTTTTTTCTATATTTATTTTTCTTTATTATCTCTATCTTAGTTATTATTTTTATGTACATATTGTGTGAATGATTAATATAGCCTTAATATTAATGCCTTTTAATGTGTCAAAATGTATTAATATTGAATAAAAAAAAAAAAAAAAAGGCCGGACTAGCTAGGAAAAACTATCAAACGTGATGTATGAAAAAAAATGATCAGATTGTGGAGGTTAATATGTAGGGAAAATTTGGGAATATCTCCCAAGTAAAATTTATAGTCATAAATATGATATTGAAAGAAAAAAAGAAGAGACCACTTTAACCATTCATGCAATTAGGAATAAAAAAAAAATTGATTTTGATGAGGTTTAAGTACTAGATATTAAAAAGCATCAACAAAAAAGGTTGCTTTTTATATCATTAATTATATATATATATATACATATATAAGAATAACCAAAGACACAACACAAGCAATGATCTGGTAAATTTAAATTTTTCATACAGTATCATTTTAAAAATAACACAATTTAGACAGAATATTTAGAGGATATATGAGATTTAGATTTATTTTAGGTTGGTTTCTGTCTTACTAATTTTAATTAGTGTTTGCTGATTAAATGATGATTCTAATACAATTTATCGAGTGTAAACCATGATTGTGCTCTTTTGTTATTGTTTCGTACTTCTATAATTTTGACAAAAATTTATATGATGACGTGTTGAATATAAATTTTATTTTTTTTGTTATTTAGTTATAATTTTTAGTAATTTAAGGTTAGCTCAATAATATATATATTTATTTGCTGTTAAAGATGTTAATTTATAAAGAAGCATTGTTGTACATGCTATTGTTATTGTTGTTATATTCATCATAAAAGCATATTTCGATTGTTTTGTCACTGCAGGGCTTCTGATTCCAAAGCTGGTGGGTAGAGGCGTGTGAACCCAGTAGCTTGCTTGATAGCCATGCTGACAGGCAATGCTGAGGCGTCCTGGTTTGAAGTATGGATGCTCGATAAGGAAGTTATTATTTTTTTTTTAATTTATTTATTTAGAAATGTAACAATCTGTCACGTCGACAATAATTAACATAAAATTAACAAAAGTAAAATAATAATCAAAAACTATGTACAATAAAAAATAAAACAACCTAAAGATAAATAAATTAAAAACATAAAACACAATCATACCTATAATTAAAGTAAGAAAAATTAGAAATTATTGTCTAAGGCATATAGAAACTTGTATTTGTGTGTCAATGATGGTTATTTGCTTTTTTTGCAGTACTGAAGAATATCCCATTATTTGTATAAGAAAAGAAGGGATCCAAATGTCATCAAATAAAAATGATGAACTCTAAATGTAGTTATAATATATTTAAGGGTCGATTAAAATAAAGTTGTATTATATATATATATATATATATATTCAGAGTGATCCGAAAGTAGAGGAAAAAAATTAAAAGGTTGATAGTAAATATCAAGATCTCAAAAAAAGTTCATATAAACAATTCCCTAATTTCCAGCAGTATCAATAACATATTTATTGAGAGATACTACAATCTGTCACAATCAAGGACATTTATAATAGTGTTCAGAGAGCACATTCACAGTATGTACAATAAATAAAAATAAATAATATAGAAAAATAATAATACTAAAAGTAAATGTATATAAACTAAACTAAACAAAAAGAAACTAAGCTAATGAAAATAACTACTCAAATACATACATGCGTCTATACAATACCTAAACGAAAAAAAAAAATTCACTCAAGGTCTCCGAGTCAAGCCTTTCTCTCCATTTTTGGAAGGAAAGGCAGGACTTTTAGGAGATCCCAGCGCCCATCACTCAGCCGCACTACTGGTATTAAGGACCAGTAGAGGCTGAGTAGAGGCGCTATAATCACACATACATGGCTAGGGTGGAGAACTTGGCCATTGCCAAAACTCTCATATATACTTACAATATACATACAATCATTTCTTATCCATCCAGTACCCATAAAATTGTAATTAGTTACTACTGTAAATGCGCATCCAATCCTTCCAGTCTAAAGTCCTTCGAACAATAGTCGATGCTCCTTTCTATGTATCCAACAAAACCCTACATCATGACCTCAACATCCCATTTGTCCTAGACCTTATCCCAGAAAAATTCTCCAAATTTCACCAGAACCTTACGTACCACCCAAATCCTGTTGCACAATCCCTATCAAGCACCTCCCATCCCTATAATCCTCCAAGAAGGTTGAAACGGCAGTGGCCTCGCGACCTTTTGTAGGTTGTATAAATTGGAGTTCTGGCAATGGCCAGATTCTTCACTCAAGACATGAGTGTATGTGGCTAATGTGCTCTCGGCCAATCTCCGCTGGCTTTAGTACCAGTGACGCGGTTGGGAGAGTAGCGCAGGGTTCTCCTGGAGTTCCCTCGCCTGATTGTATATAGGTATGCATGTGTTTTTTTTCTTAGTTTTAATTTTCTTATTTTTTAGGTTATTTTATTTTATTGTCTATTGTATATACTTTTCATTATTATTTTGTTCTATTTATTTTATTTTTTTGTACATATGGTGTGAATGTCATCCTACCTCACTATAACCAATGTCCAACAGACAGATTGTTATAATACTCAATAAAGAAATTAAAAAAAAAAAAAAACTACTGTAAATATGTATATAAAATATTAGATCGTTCTTCATTATTTTTATTTCATGTTTATTTTCAATTTTCAGTTTTTTAATATTAACTGATCTAAATTAGTAAGTAACTTATAATTGTTTCTATTATTATTTTTTTTTATTTTGACTACTTAATTACTCTATATTTTTGTTTATGTATCTCTAAGGCTCCTTAGCCCACATTATTGTCTTTCTATATTATTCTAAAGGGACTCGTCCCAGAATAAATAAAGCATTGTTATTATTATTACTTATTCACAAAAGGTCTCTGGGCCACCGCCGCTTTAACTTTCGAGGAGGATTGTAGGGATGGGTGGTGCTGGATAGAGATTGTGCAAGGGGATAGGGATGATAGGTAAGGTTAATTTCCAGCAGTAAAGAAGGAAATTTAAGATTTGTGTTTTTATTTTGTTGTTTTTTAGCGAGTCACGCTTTTGAACGTTCAATTTGATTGAAAGCGATAACCACAAAAATAATAAATTAAAGCAATTAAAAATTGATCAGTAGTAAACTACGTAAAATATTCTTTAAAAGAAAGTCGAGTTTGTCATTTTTAAAAATGTTTAACGAGGACTATTGAGCAGACAAACACTGCTAAGTACTGTTTAAAACAAAATCATAAATTATTTGTGACTTTCTTTTATCACCCTTCAATTTAAATATATTTGCCCCACTTTTAGAAACACTTCCTCCTTTAATAAGCTTTAAGTCCATATTAATTAATTTGAGGTTTATGAGAAAAAATATTGAGATTCACATCAAGTTGTGTAAAGAAATGATGTGATTTTCTATCCAGTCACCTAACGTAAGTGTTTTCTTGCAAAAACGACTATAATTGACTGTTGTGAAGCTTTTACTTCTTGTTTTCCCGTAATATGATGTCTATTACAATAAACATAATTGCCTAAACACTCATTTTATGTTTAAATAAAAAAATTTTCCATATGTACTTGTTTAAGGTGAAAATTTTTTAATATTATAAAATAAGGCTGTGTTTATTTTTTCACCATATTTATTTTAATTTTCATAGCTACGTTTCGGCCGGCAAGCCATCTTCAAGCCATCTATAATATAAACACCATTAATTTTGTAATTTAATGTTATTCTATACTCTATGAAGTTGGTATTGGTCATATTCAATTAAATATTCTATAAATTATAACCCTAATTAGGTTAAGTAAATTTTAAAAATTTTTTGTCATATATTATAGATTTTTGCCATGTATTATAGATGGCTTGAAGATGGCTTACCG